TTCTTTACCGTGTTTATTTTGGAAACATAGTGAACCTGTTCTCTTGACACAATGTGTAGGAAAAATCTCATATTAGTAGTGAGTAAATGTTAGTCACTTGTTGCACAGTGTGACTGTGGGAAGGAGTACCTTAAGCCTTTCCTGTCTTGTATTTGCTGAAATTAATTCTACAAGATGAATCTAATATTTTTTTTTGTTTACCGGACAAATGTAACAGCGCTGTAGCATCTTCTGTGTTTTATGCTTTTAGATTTTGCTTCAGGATAGAATATGTTGTTCAAAGATATTGTTCCTTTTTCAGAAGATGTATGAGTGAAGTGTTTTTTGCAAAAACAAAACTTGCATCTAGGCATAAGGTTGTACTTTTTGTTGTAAGAAAAGACTGAACAGATGGGAAGTAGTTTGAAGGAATTAGATGAAATGCTGATGGAGTGTCACATGAAGAACCGGACAACAATGAAGTTCCCATATAATACGAAAAGATCACATTTTTACATGAAAATGCATATTTACAAAGGAAAGATTATTCAAACTGAAGTTTTCGGAATACTTCAGTAATATTTTGTGGTATCGCTTTAGTAAGATCTCGCAACCGTCAGAGAGGTAGCCTTCCTGCACCAGTGAAATGGCTTTTTAACCAGCTGGCTGTTATTTAAATGTTCACTGTGTGTGATCTATAAATAATGTTAATATACAGAGTTTATATAATAATTGGCAGTCATCACTTTGATGTAATTGAACTCTGAAACTTTCTATCTGATCAACATAGCAGCCTAGCAGCAAATCAGTTTTCTTGATTTACTTACATTTTGCTGAAAGCACTTTTGTCCAAATGTCATATATTCTGTGAGTACATTTGTACTTCTCAAATTGATTTCAAACCTTTTATTGTTTTCCTCGATTTTTATCATAGGAAGCAAACTCAAAATTGTGAAATTTGTAAAATTATTTTAGAAGACTTTTCTTACATATATAATTTGGTTTGGTTGATGTATCCTTCTGAGAAAGTACTCAATTGCTTATTTTCTCAAGAAGTAGGTAAAAGATAGTTAGATTTAGCTGGTGCTTCATTTAATTCGGATTTTATATTGACATAAAATCACGTAATTAATTTGCCATTTAAAAGTGCCCTACAGCCTCTGCAGTCATAGAATAATAATTTAGAAATGACTGTTTGGCTGTCTGTGCCTTATCATAATTAACTGTCTTCTCAGCATAAAACGTAAAACGGAGCATACTCAAATACTTTATATTTTAATGTGTTGCATAATATTATCGCACCCAGAAATAGTAGGAAGCGTATCTCATATTTCATTGTGAGATAAGTTTTTAGTCGATCTCTAGTTTGATCTCTTTTTAGGGAGAGATTTTTCTTTAAAGGAGTTCCTCTGTTTTGCTCAACTCTTACAGCTTAGTGCTGAAAATATAGAAAGTGGTCTTTTTAGGAATTTACTGATGGATTTAAAATGTCAGGATCCTGTTTTGTTTTGTAACATCACTGAAGCTGAAAAAAGAGCGGAGAAAGACCCAGCAATACATACCAATTTCTTGTTATCCAGTAAGGCGTATCTTCTTCTGGATGTCATTAAACTACAAGAAAGTTTTGCCTTTGCTATAATCCCGCTGTTCCTTTTTAAACGTAGTTTCCAAACGCCTAACATTTTTTCACTGAAATATTGCCATAAGCTGACGTGAGATCATGTGCTCTTCTTTTATCTTCTGAAGCTTGAATTTCATGATTTAAAATGTACTTTAGTCACTTAAGGAAGAGTGATATTTTATGCTATTTTCTATGGGAAAACAGCTTTGCAGAAATTATTTATTGGAATGTAGGAGAGTTCTTTTGAAATAATTTGAATGGTTACTGTAAAAGTAAAGTATTCTGTCCATTACTGGAAAATAACTTTATGTATACCTCCTGTGACTTAAATAAATCATTGACGACATTTGTTGCAATGTGAATGTGGCATTAAGATTCCTACAGCATTCCACTTCAAGTAGCAATCCGGCAATGGTATAGATATAGATAGATATCTATATAGATATAGATAGATATAAGGATATTATTATATACTATGCTGAGAAAAGCACATCTGTAAAACTCTTGTGTCTTGGTTATTAGTGCTAGGATTTGAACTATCTTTAATCTCATTTGACTTGTTCATCTTCCTTAAGGATCTCCATAAAGACGCACTGAGTATTCTTTTCAGCCCTTAGTTAGGGTTTGCATCAGTGGTCGTAAACCTGCTTAGCGGACAAAGACTCTTTTCCCTTTGAAGTCACTTCCCCAGCTTTTCAAAAGGTCTGCAAGCTGGTTCCCCTAAAACAATTTAGAAAAGTTTGAAGTGGTGCCCCTTAAACCAGCAACAAAATAAAATTTTCTCTTTGCATTATTGAAAACCATGACAATCTTCTGAAGCAATAACAATTTAAAAGCTTTTAAAGAAATCTGTTCTGCTCTACAACCAGCTTTTAAGTCGACCCCATTATTTGGAAAATCAGAGGCTTGGAAACCCCTAAAGACTTGACATTCTTATCAAAGGAGTCAGCCTGACTTCTCACAGGACTCCTCTTTTACAGTATTTATTCAAGTCCTAATTTCTTCAAAGATACTATTCAGATTAATTCTATTTCTTTTTTGCATTAAAGTGTTTCTTTAGAGCAAATGTAATTTAGTAAACAGTTGCTATAATTTATGAAACACTGATCCTGCCACCTGTAGGTTTATACTCTATTATGCTTGAAGTCAAGTCCAAATTCTAAAAAGACTGCGAGTGTTACTTATGTAATTTTACTTTTCTGCAGGCTGTGGTAAATACATATGCTCAGTTTCTACTTCTTCTTTTAAGAATCTTCTCTCCTCCAGTTTACGTGTATAGTTACCGACAGCCTAATGTAGGTGAAGCCTACAGTAATGTAGTTGCTGTAAGCAATAAGTTTACTATAAAGATTTTGTTTATCTGTACCTCCTAATAATTCATTCAGACATTGCTTCTTATAAGTCCTTCTAACTGCAACATCTTATATTCATTACCTCCACTACAACACTGTACATTTGAAGCTTCTCTGATTTCAAAAGTTTCATTAACATGTGTAGTACACAATTAGATTAATTCCTTGCTGATCTATGCAAGTATGTGCTACATGCAATTTCTGAAAGCAAAATAAAGCAATAAAGCCAGAATTCTAGAATTTTGCTAACGTTGCCAGCTCATTTAAAAGAAAACAAACTAACAAGAGCTTTAAATGCACAAAGCTGCCTCCTCTTTTATGGCTTGGGGACAACAGGGAGAAAGAACTGGGTCAACAAAATTAAATTGTTACTGGATAATAAGACTGTTATGGTTGCTGTTACATTTTCCCCTAAAACTGCAAATTTGTGGCTCGTCTACACAATGTTCATTTAGGAATCTTCTGAGGTGCCTGCCCCATGTTTAGGTGAGGGAAGTTCAATAGAGCAAACTTTCTCTGCAAGGTTTGTGAGGGTGCGCAGGATCAGCCGCCTGAGAAGTACCTAGAGGTCATTAAGTCTACCCTTATGCTTCCAATTTGTTGGGAGTTCTTCCCTTGCTCCTGAACTGTCTGCCATACTTCCTGGGCTTGAGTGTGTTTTGCCAAACGTTATACGGAACAAAAGCAGTAGCTTTTAATGATTATTTATTGAGACATTAGGGACAATCTCTTCGGAGCAAGTTGCTCCAGAGCATTTTCACATTTAAAATGCTGATAACATACGTGTGTGTGTGTATGCACACATACATGTTTAGTGTATATGCGTATATCTAAGAAGAAACAGATTTATTTACTTTTCAATATTTTGTATTGTGGATATAAATTATAGATTATAACAGTATTGCACAATAAATCCAATTTTGAAAGGTCAAAATCCTTGATTTGATACTTTGTCGTAGATCATGACCTTTTCTTAAAAGCCGTTTGAATGTGGCAGCTACACGGACACTCTGGGAGGTGTTGCAAGTGGTCTGAGTAAAAATATAAAATACTGAGAGTAAGCTAAGCTTTTATTAATGCAAGCCCAGATCTACACTTCTTTTCCACAGAAGTCTCTCACTGTACACGTGCAGGGTCTCGGTAGCTGCCTGTTTTGATAGATTTCCGTAATTTCTAATAAGAGCCAGTACCAGTATTGCTGGTACTGTTGAGGCTCTACATGGACAAACTAGTGACATTATTTGAAAAGTTACAACCCCGCATATAATTTGAATGTTGCTACCTTAGTAGCCAATGGAGTCAGTTGGCCCTGTTATTACTCTGTCTCTGCAAAACCACCTCCTGTTTTTGAAGTAAAAAAAGTTTGATTTTACCACTGCTTTACTGCCTTCTTGATATCTCGCATATCATCGTTTACTGTGAAGTGATATTATTCCCTGCTGCTTAAAAACTCATCTAATCCTTTTTGAAACTACGTGATAACATTGCCCAAGATACATTCTTTAGAGTTGAAACGCTTTGTAAAATGGTATGAATGAACTAATTATATGGTAATACAAAAATAACATTGCGATTTCCTGTTACCAGAGTAAAAGAAAATCAGTCAATGGGTGTTTTACTTTGTCTTTGAGCACTGTAGGTGTCTCCTCTCAGTACCTGTCATAGTGACACTTGTGTTTCTTACGCTGTTATAGGAAAAGATAGTAATTGACTGTGGTCTCTTCCTCTACCAAAAAAAAATAGAGGGGGAGATGGAGGGAGGGGAAAACGCAAATCTGTATGCTCCAACTTCTGTTTCTTTTTACTACACACCTGACTTCTACATTAATGTGCGTTAGGAAATGTGCAGGCTGAATTCCTGTAGTATGCTGCTGCTGTGCTATGTAGATAGGAGTACTGAACCACTATATGCAAACAGTAGATAGAAGTGATTTGTAGGGAACATGAACTCAAAGAGCAAGGAAACTGAAGACGCTTCAGTGATTGAAAGCAGTGATTTTGGAAATAGATTGTAACACAGGATTGCTTTTATTGTTTTTTCATTGAAGGTGATTTTGCAACTCCTCGAGCTATTTTGACAGGACATGACTATGAGATCACCTGTGCTACCATTTGTGCTGAACTTGGCCTGGTAATAAGTGGTTCAAAAGGTAAGGTAGCTGTTGCCATTTCTTTCTGTTCATGAAGCTATAATCCTAATGCAAAAAGGAATATAGTGTCAGGTGGCAGAATTTATTAACTTTATGGTGGTTTTATTTCTAACCTTTTTTTGGTTGTTGTGGAATTTGAAACCTCTTTTTAAAACTGAGGATTATTCTGACATTTACAAGAGGCAACCACATCAGTTTCCCTGCTATAGCCTACTGATTGCTGTTTCTTTTTGTTTGTTTATCCAGTGTAATTGCATATAGCTTACAGTGGGATACAGCTCTTGACTGCCAGGATGGTGAAGAATGTTATGGATAACTTCTCAGAAAGGGAAGCAAAAATTAGTTTCAGGAGAAAGAGGATGTGCTGTCTTGTTTGTTTGATGAAGGGTATATATAAGCTACCAACTAAAATTTGTAGTAATTCTGTTCAGGCTCTTTGAGCTTAGCTGCAAAACCTGTAATGTGTCCAATTTGTGTTCTCAAAGACCTGCTTTTGGCAGGCAAATTGTAAAGAATGGTGTTGATTCCATGGACGTTGTTTATCGTTTTCCTATTTGCTGGTTCACACTTATTTTTAAACTGGAAATGTCTTAGAATTAGGATCTTTCTGCTTTAGTGTTTCCAAAGTAAGGGAGACTTTTTCAAAGTGGGGTGTACTCACCATATGCACCTGTGTGTGTTTGTTTTCTGCATGTGAACACTTGTGGCTTACATGCAAATCAGGTATTTGTCCAAATATGTTAGAAAGCAAATATTTAGTGGATCACATGCGGGTTAAAATCTTAATATGAGAATATACACTTTTAGAATACCTACATATGTAAATCCATTACACGTAACCTCTCTGTGTCTTCATATTTTGAAAATTTCATTTTACGATTCAGTATACTTATTTTTGTGCTCTCAAAATTAACTACTACCAGTTTTAAAAGAAAATCCTCAACAGAAAATCTGTTAGGTCTCTAACTAGTTTTGATAGGTGCTCTATAATACCTTAATACAAAGCTCTTAAGGGATAAGCTGCTTATTTTACTCTCTGGCACCCTTAAAGTCATAGACTGTCCACTTAAACATGGTAAAAATCATTATAATGTATTATGACTTCTACTTAGGTAATCACTATTATTACTTACTATTTGATATATGATGTCTTTAAATGAGCATGTAAATCAATAACTAGAGATTTTATTCTGTCTCATTAGAAGGACCATGTCTCATACATTCTATGAATGGAGATCTACTGAGGACATTAGAAGGTCCTGAAAACTGCCTGAGACCAAAACTTATTCAAGCTTCAAGAGAAGGCCACTGTGTCATATATTATGAAAATGGCCTCTTCTGTGTATTCAGTGTGAATGGGAGACTTCAAGCCACCATGGAAACAGATGACAAGATAAAGGTGAGTGTACTCAAATGTGTGCTAGGGGCTGTCAGTTCCAGTATCAGGAAAAGCTATCAATGTCAGAGTTATGTGGAGACTCTTTCTATAGCCAGGCCATAGAAATATATGGTATTAGACCGTAATAGCAGCATTCTGAAAAAACGGTATTTAAGGGGACCATGTACTCCTAATAGTACTGGTTTTAATTTTAAAATAACTCTGTTCTATAGTAAGGAATATCCTGTAGGCATTTCCTTGAACTGAAAAATACAAATATTACTAATTGTGACCAGGAGAAGCCAGGCTACTTCTTTACTTTTAACTCTGAAGGCAGGAGGTCATTGGACATGCTGTATTGGATGTTGGGTTTCCCTTTTTTGGCATCTCTGTCTACATTCCTTCATCTTAACTTAAGATAGCATGTGTTGTGCTGAGCTTCAGGAAGTTTATAGGCATATGTCTATATTTCAACTCTTTAGCCCTTTGGCATTTGCTGAGCAGGCAGCTAGGTTCTACGTCTTCAGCTGCAAGAGACATGGAGCAAGTCCAAAACTATGCAGGAGGCATTTTAAGCTTATGGTTTTATGGAAATTATTTGATAATACAAAATGCAGGTCTTTTGACAGTTCCTATGAAATAGTACCTACGAAGCAGAGCAGAACCTTCCAGCTATACTGCAGTGAACCAGAAATGTCAAAAGAATACTTTCCTTGAATTAAAAATATTCCCACTTTTTCCTTGAATGAGAAAGAAAGGAAAGGGAGGGGAAAAAAAATGAACACGCATTACCAAGTCTAGTAGAAAGTTACAGAATGCAGCAGAGACATGAAGCAAGATCGCATTGCTGGGTCAGCGTTCAGGCTACCTGAATTGTCTGAAGTTATGGTCTCTGTGCCAGTAGTTGTGGTCTGAGAGGCACAGAATCACAGAATGGTTGAGATTGGAAGGGACCTCTGAAGACCATGCGGTCCAGCCACCCTGCTCAAGCAGAGCCATCTAGAGCCAGTTGCCCAGGACCATGTCCAGACTGCTTTTGAATATCTCCAAGGATGGAGATTGTACAGCCTCTCTGGACAACCTTTGCCAGTGCTCGGTCATCCTCACAGTAAAGAAGTGTTTCCTATATAAAACTATTTAACTATTTAACATCAGCAAGAGGAGACCGTTGTTGTTGTAAGCATATAGCAGTACTACACCTCCAAGCTGACTTTCATAATCTGATGGAAAAGCCCAGCTGCTGGGATGTCCAATGTTCTCTTGAGTTGAAAACTCAAAAATTTTTCCTTTATTTGGATTAGGTGTTTCAGAAAGAAAAGGCCTCTTCGCCCTTATGTTCATTTTACAGAATTACTGAAATTCTTTCAGATGTTGTGCAAAATTGTGAGCATTTTAAAATTTGCACCTGTTCTTCTCTTGACTCTATTCATATTAATTCTTAAGATGGAAGAATACGTCAATATATTTGAAAGCATTTTGATCTGCATCATTTGCATTTTATAACTTCCATTGAACTGTGAATGCTCCATTACCACTGAAGTGTCCAGTGTAGTTTAGTGTATTCCACTTAAAACCTTCTAAAACTCTGCTGCGTACTATTAATCCAACATGTTAATGTTAATCCAGCATCCCTGTGTTTTCAAAATGTCAGATACGTTGATGGTGGAATACGCAGAAATAACTGTGTAGGTCTCCTCTCCACAGAGAGAGTGCTGTCTGTAGGGGTGAGAGGGCATTTGAACATTGGATGCTGTGGCAGCCACAAGTGCGGATTTCAGGCTGGGGAAATGAAGGAGGAATGCGTCCGTTTCTGTCCCAAGCCATTTTTCCAAATTAATGTAGATTCTTGCTTCAATTTTTAATCTTTCTTCAATTCTCTGAAATTGCACCTTCGGCTGTCCTTGTACAAATGCTTTCGAGATTTTCAGCCTACCCTTCATCCCAGTTCTTTCCATAAAGCAAGTACATATCACAGTGTTTTCTCTTTGTACAATAATAACGTTGATAATCTGTCACTTTCAGTTGTGATTATGTTGTCAGCTAGGCCAGCAAATCTGTAAAATATCTAGAAGTCCCTTGCCGGCTAAAACAATTTCTGTAGTGTTTCAGTCAGTACCCACAGCTTGAGGAATGTTGCTGGAGGCAATGGAAGTTCCGCTCTCTGTGGGCCAGAATTACATATGTACAGGGGTTTGGGTTTTATTTTGTTTTGTTTTGTTTTCTTTCTCTCCCAGTGGTCCCAGTTGGGCTTTACGCTTAAACAATCTACAGCGTCTTTCCCAGGGCTTCTGCAGTATATCATGTTAGTGGCAAGTGGCAACTGCATGATTAAAGTAGGGCATTTAAAATGAATAGTACCTACCTACGGGCTGTGCTGACAACCACTTTTCGTTGGTTTTTGCTCGAGGAGGATAGAAAAGGGAAGGAAAAGGTCCTAAGTGTTGAATCTGTAATGTAAAATCCTAGTTTCTCTTTTCCTGTGTCATTATGGGCCTGTATTTCCGAATGTTATTGGCAAAACTAGGAGTTTTCCATAGTGATGTTTGGAACAACATTCTGATCTTCTTTCTTGTATTCTTGTGCTAGAGAACTGCTAGCAAATTTCAGACGCTCTGGGGAAATTCAAAGTCTAATCAATGCCTTCCACCTGTTTTTGTTTTAAATACTGTATTGCTCAGTGGAGCTTAGGCATATCGCAGTACATCCACCGTGTAATGTTTAGATATCTTAATGAATAACTTAACTCTAAATAGTCTGCTTGTTCTGAGAAGTAAAGTTATTTTACCCTAAACAAAGACTGTATGCTGTTTCACCCAGAGGAACCAATTTATTTTCTTTTCCTGAGTCTGTTTTGAAATGTGGAAGTGCCCACAAGACTCCTGCTGCTGTAAGCCAGGGCTGTCACAGTGTCAGCTCTGCCTTTTACAAAGCACTGCCTTTCAAAAATCTGAGATGTTAAAAGGGATTTGTGCAAAGTTTTGAGACTTTCCAAGGAAATACAAGTCAGAAACGCAGCTTTTAGAACATAGATGAAATTGTGCGCTTTGGGGATTATTTGAGAGTCTGAAGCTCATGTTGTGAGAAAGATTAGTTGCAGAGTTGTTTCATACCTAGCAGAACCGTAGATAAACTACGCTGGGGAAAAGCAGAACAGTAAAATTGATTCATGTCGTCTTCTATACCAGTTGGAGTACTTGGGAGTAAAAGCATCCTTTCGTTTGTTAAATCTTGAAGGGCATGTCATGCAACTGAAATGTTGACAGGGTGACCTTTTCTTCCATTCATTCCTTCATTCATATATATACATATATAGGCAAGTGGCTGAGAAATGTATTAATAAACAATAAAAGTAAATAAATCAACATCTTGTCTTCATGACAAGCCAACGAGTTAGTAAAATTGCATAGGTATTAGTAAGGGCAAAGCCTATACTTTATTTAATCAAATGATCACAAAAACCACTGCCTTTTGCAGGTAGTGGAAGAGTTAAAGATTAATGGCTTTAATTTGCCTTTTAATATAGCATTTCTTCAGTAAAAGCCTCAAGTATAAAATTCAAGTGAACCATAACCATAAGGTTAATGGATTTTCATCAGCTGAATTTTATAAGTGTAGCAAATAATTATTTGTCACGGTCTTCATTGCAATTTGAAAATACCCTTAGGAGACTGCCATTGCTATGGAGAAGAAAACCACCCCATATTGATTTTTGCTTCTAATGAATAATCTTTTTAATAATTGTGTGTGGTATGTTACACCTCATGATCATCGACTCAGTGCATGCGAGTTCCAGATAATTTTCACGGTCTTATCTCAGTTTGTTTTCTACCCCTTTCTTACCGAGTTACTATACTCTCCTAAGAGGGTCTCTAAATGGGTTTTCAAGCTCCTCGGGGCTGTGTTTTGGGAGGTGCTTAGCATATTTTTGTAGGCTGGCAGAAACAATCACAGAAGCAATTTATGGTTGGAACATTTGTTTTTTCAGGGGAGAAGCTTCAGCTCAGAATACTCAAGTCTAACCTTGGTTAGTATTCATTTCCATACTTAGATATGGTTGGAAAAAAACTCCACATATTCTGCTTTATTGTGTCTAAATTTACACGTGTGTGTTGTCATCGTAATTCAAAACACAGCTGGAATAGGTTTATCATCTGTTCTTTTTTCAGTGTTATAATATTTTGTTTACAGTATATGTTTGTATTTCACTTACATTCATTTTAAAGTTATTGTGTGAAATAAAATTTTAGCAATGTGATTCATTCTGATTACTTAGGAGTTGTTGCAGTAAACACCCAAAATTTATAATATAGAAACTCTATCTTAATGTAAGTGTTGCACATCATATTCTCAAAGGATATATTTGGCATCATAGTAATACAGTACAAAAATACAAAAAATACAGATGTGCAATATGTCTGACTTCAATTATTGCTGTTCATGAAGCAGTATCTACGTACACTGTGCATTTTTGGTTTCTAGGCTTGTCAGAAGTCTGTATAAACACTTTAATGTTGCATGAACGTAACATTTTTGTGGTTTAGTTTCTCTTGTTTTTGTGGTGTGTATAAATTCTGTATATTAAAAAACCCAACAAATTCCTTTTCCTGAGGAATTTAAAATCACAGTATGTTACAAGTTTCGCATATTGAAAAACTGTAGAAGCAGAGATTGCAAGTGCCAAAATACTTGCAGACTTCAGTAGAGAGAGAGAGGTTTGCAAGATCCTGTCTTCGGTTCTTTCTACTGTTTCCTAAATTTAAATCTTTGAGCTGGAATTTTGCTTGTAGACTATCATCTTGAGGCAATTTCCTTGCCTTCCACTTAGTTAAAGTGGATCAATCTATTTGTAGAACGTGTGTGTTTGGAATTTAAAAGCCATTGCTCTGAATATCCTCCATTCTTACATTGTTCTACTGAAAAGTTTTGTGGCTCCCTGCTGTGGGTCAGGAAGCTGAAATTTATCACGATTTAGTCCTGGTGTGAAGGATGTGTGTTTTGTTGAAAAGCTGCCCAAATTTCGCTGATTCACAAATCTCAGGTTAAATGCATTCAGTAGATAACGCTTTGCATCTACATTCTGTACTGAACATCTGTAGCCCAGGGATGCAGAGTTTTCCCCTGCAACCAATCATCCCCTACAGTGAGGTGCACAAAAATGCCATGGCAAGAAATGTGATGAGGTGATCCTGGATGAGGAAGGGGAAGGACTGATAGGGAAGCAGAGAAAGAAGAGCAGAATCGAGGACAGAACCAAGGACAGAATGAGAGACATTTGCAAGAGCAACAGGAACAGAGAAGTGGAGATGGGAATGTAGAAACTTGACAGAGACTGGGAAGAAGAGGCAGAAAGGAGCGAAGGAAAAATGGGAATTGGAAGTAGGAGCAATGGAGTGAAGGATTAGGTAGGATCAGGAGTTTAATACTAGATAATAGTGCTTTGTAGTAGCAAAGTTCCTTCATTTCCTTTTGATAACAGCAAATCATCCAGCACACAACCAGCAAAGTTGTTTCTCACCGTTCTGTGTGCTCAGATGAAGAGGATGATAGGCTGCTTCTGTGCCGAGTATTGCGCACAGAAGTAAAAGTAGAGAGCAGAGAAGGGAAAAAGCAGAGTCAAGCTGGGGAGCAGAAGTCAGAAAAAGGACTGAGAAGAGGCATCTGGAAACAGGAGGAGAGAGTATAGAAAAAGGTTTGGGCTTACAGGAGTTATTAATAATGGTCCAAACTGTAGTTTTAAGGGTCTTGGTCTCACCGGTAGCTCATGCTGATGGCATTCCACGTGACAGAATTCATTCAACTTCTTGGGTTTTTTTGGGGTTGGTTTTTTTTTGTTTGTTTGTTTGTTTGTTTGTTTTTTAGAAAACCATACAAACCCTTCACTTTTCCCAGATAACTGGAGGATGAGGCTATAAAATCAGGGCCTGGTATTTGTCTACTGCTTAAGTTTCTTTTCTGCACAGCAGCAGGACCGGGTCTTCCTTTCAGAAGGAGTTTTATACTCTTCAGGGTTACTGTAGTAGTGATTGCTAAGACCCCTGTTGAAAAGATGTGTAAGATCTTGGTATTGCTGTGAGAAAAGGCAGTAACGGGGTCTTCCAGGGATTGGTGTTGGGAACTAGTTTTATTCAATGTTTTCCGAGGTGGGGAATGCTGAAGGTCTACAGAGTGATGAAGGCAACGGATGAGGTGAATGCAGAACTGTTACTCAGGAAATAGCACAATATGAGACCTATGGGGTACCCATTGAAACTAGCAGGATCACTTCAGAACAGATGAAACTATTTTACACTGTAATGAACTTGTGCCAATTTTTTTATTCTTCCCTACAGAAGGCATCAGCAGGCTCAAAAAGAGATTAAAAAATTCATGGGCAGCACGTCCATAAATAGATACTAAAGGGAATGGACAGAGAGATTCTTTCCGATATTCCTGATCCAGTGGTTGTGGGTGCTGGGGAGCAGAGGGGAAGGGACTATAGAGTGGCGAGCCTTACAGCATCTCCTGCTGCCGCTGTTGGCGATCCAGCACTGGGCTAGATGGATCATGGTCTGTCTGACCCCATAGAGTATCACCTATTTTAATAACATTTCAATTTCAGTTCTCATAAACCACATTTTGGCTTATTTGAACTGGCAAAATCCCTCTTTAAGAAGTATTTCTTATGCTTCCAGTCATCTTAGTATCTGATAGTATCATCTAGTATAGTCATCAGGTAACTGAGGAAAGTTGCTGTTCTTCCAGGTACTCAGTATGTATCATGATTTTTCCAACAGCACAGAAGAAACATCAAAATATATTGAAGACTTCTGTTTCAATAAGTCTTCACTGTGAAAACCAATGATATCCAGTCTTTCTCCATGATCCTGATCCCAAATAAAGATTTCAAATGTAGTTTTGCTGTCAGTCCCCGTGATCCATGCAAAATCAGGGTATAAGCCACTGAATTTGTCACAGGCAGTATCAGAACAGATGATGAAAGGAAGCACAGTCTCTATTAAGAGAGGTGGATCATTATCTTGTTAATCCAGAGGAATCCAAAAACACTGGTCTAAATTAATTCTAGTAATTTGTATAACATTTCAGTTCCCTCCATCATTCAGCCCTTTGCCAGAGAGAAAAGGAGGGTAACTTCTGCTAGGGTAGTATTAAAGACTCTTGGGGAAATGTCTGGTACTATAGTTTAATGCCAGTGCTGCTGGATCTTGTAAATCTAGCTAACTAGAAGAGTAAATGTCTTTAGCTGACCTCATGGTAGATCTTTGGAATATGGAGTAAATCACAGGTGAGGTAAAACTGAACTAGTGACATCTAATGTATTAAAGAGACTTGTGGAGAATAACATTAATTCTGTTGCTGGGTAGAATAACGTAACAATAATGTTGCTTCCCAAAAGCTTGTATTGATATCAAGTCTCCCTGGACATTCAGCTGTCGGTATGAAACTTTTTATGAAAGTAAAAGGCGGGGAATAAGAGCAGCACATATTTATCTGACAAATATCTGTGTGATTTCCCCTTAGGCAATTCAGCTGAGTCGAGATGGACAGTATCTGCTCACAGGTGGAGACAATGGAGTTGTCATGGTGTGGCAGATGTGGGACCTCAAGCAGCTTTTTGCTTACCCAGGGTGTGATGCTGGAATCCGATCCATGGCCCTGTCGTATGACCAAAGGTTAGAGCAAAGTCTGGTCTTCACAAGAATTTCAGAGAATATATACTTACAATTCAATTGTATTCTTGTTTGTCTTCTGATTTTGATTTTCTGTGGATCACAGATCCTGGTGATTATCTTGAGAATTCTGTGCTTGCTTAAGTTTCTTTCTAACTTGTCATATTTAGGGCAGATAATCTTTTTCAGGATTTCAGCTCTTGGGGGAATGAAGAGCGATTCAAGAAATGTTACTTTGGCAGACTTTCAAGATAGGTTGAGTTATTGGCCTGTGCCAATGTACAGTGTGGGTCACATGGAGGTGGAAGGTTACATGTGTGCTTTTCATGTTTCTTCTTTCACTTACAACACAAATCACAGGAATTCCTAATTCCAGACCTTTATGTTAAAAATAGAACAGTTAGAATAGTTGCAGAATAAGATTCCTTCCACACGTTCATATTTTGCTAAAGCAAATATTGATTTTCATTTCCAGAAAAGTTATTTTGTCCACATAAAGCATGACCCTCCTTGAAGGTTCCTTCTACTGAAGGCAATCAGTTAATATTTTTACTGCATTTTTACATTACACTTTCCAATGCAGCTGTACTTAAAAGTCCTTCTGTGTTTTTATCACAAAAGTATTGTTTGTTTGTAAGATGGATGTTTACCATTTCATTTGTACACTTTTAGCTTGCAGGCTAGAATTTTGTTTGCTTTGGTGTATTTGCTTAGTGGAGTTCCTGGGTACTTTTCAAGCAGATTTGGCTCCTAAATCCCTTAGGAGTGTCTACATTGTGCAGTAAAGCATATTGCTGAGACTCTTAACCTCCCACTTACTGAAGTCCATACCGAATGTCTTAATATTTTTTACGTGGACTACATTTCTAAAACTTACATACAATGAACTTAAAAAAATCCAAGCCAGCAAAATCTGTGGACTTAAGTCAAACTTCAACTTCTCGTTAGGCATAGAGATTATAGGCATTTGGGAAGAAACAGTTTTCCATTAAAAAGCCCCTGGTGTTAAAAATGTTTCAAAAGCCGGAGTTACAGCTGGTGAATTTTAGACTTCTGAAATGTATAAAATTTTGCATTTAGACAATCTTTAAACTGTAATTAATGGCATGCCAATATAATCTTCACATGTCAATAAACTGAAATTTAATATGGACATCTATAAATTGATCCATGTGCTCAAGTTAGGAATCTATTCGCTTTGGGTTTGAAGACACAGAAACTCCGAAGAGATTTACTCAGAGTATTTTACTGAGTAATTATTCAGTGATTACAGGTAATTACTCGGAGTAATTTATTTGGTATGCATGAATGTGTGTGTTTGAGTGATAGTGTGTAAAAAGACATTTTAACCTAATACAAAAACAATCAAAATGGTGCTCTTGAAATGAAATGGTGTGCTACTATCAAAATGCAATGTTATGATGATCTCCTATTTAGTCTCTGTTTTGAAGGAAAAATCACAGCTTTTTACTCTGAATAATTTTTTTTAATTCTGAGGCTTTTTTCCTAAAATGCCAGAATTTTAGACACCTTCATCCTTTTGATTTTCATAAAACTTTAATATGAGACAGTAGAAAAGACGATACAGAAACTCTTGTAATTGTGTGCTATGTCAGGGTCATGGCTTTGCAAACAGATCTAAATGATCTCGAGTAGTAGGCCAAGGGTAAGGAATTCAGAAAGAAAGAGTGCCTCAGTGGGAAAGCACAGTGATTGCTTTCAGGAACTTCCAAAACAATCAAAGCCTTCAAATTCCTTTCAAACCCAAACACGAACGTTTCCAACTGAAGTCCCGTGCCCACATCCAATTCCTTCATGGAGATCATGTGCTTAAATGGGGGAGGCGAAACTGAACTGCACACTTCTCCTAGCCTTCCTTCACTTTGCTGCTTCACCAGGGCTTCATCCCACTCCAGTACCCCCCCAAAAACCAACCAAGCAAGCCAAGAAATAATCCCAGGAAGTCTGAAGCGGGCTTGCAGGACAGCGGTGCTGGTAAACAATTCTGTGGTCTAACTCTCAATGGTAGCTTCAGGCCAACCATACAAACCGTTGCATGGTGTCTTGTACGTTTTCTGATTCATAAATCTGTCAGAGCTGGTGCAGATGGCAGTTTTATTCAAATCCAGCTTGCTGGAGCCCTTGGAAGCCCAGGATGGGAACCCCTAAAAGCCTGACTCTTCTGGTATGTGGAGCACTTCCAGCTCCAGCTGTCTTCAGTGGAAGGTGGTCGTTGCCTCGGGTTCTTGTGTACCTCCTCGGTGTGTTGACTCGTACATCTGAACGGGGAGGTGGTTCACTAACGAATATGGTCTTGTGCTTTCCTTAGGTGTATAATGACTGGCATGGCATCTGGGAGCATAGTGGTTTTCTACAATGATTTCAATCGTTGGCACCACGAGTATCAAACCAGATACTGATCTTCACAGAGACCAAGATTAGCACTGATGTGGGCAGCTGCTGTCAGAAGGAAACTGAACACAGCACGCCTCCCTTGGTGTCTTGCCACAACATTGTTCCCTATAAATAGCTATATTACATCTGAATGTAACTTAAATTTGCTGGAAGAAGCAACCTATTTTTTAAAGTTAATTGCTATTTTTGTAGACCTTGCTTGACTTTTTTGGGGGAAGGGCAAAGAAGCAGAAACATGGCTGCTGGGTTCTGTAGTTAAAAATCTATATTTTTAGTCATAATGAGAAGTCTATTTTGATCCCTGTATGTAAAAGAAACCTAAAGTAAGGATGGTTAAAACTCACATTCTAGCTGTATTATGAAGAAATAGATTTTCCATCTGAAGCTTTATCTATAACCTTGAGGAATATATGATTTTAAGATAATGGACATGAAATACGATCTTCGGGGAATTTTAATCTGTGCTATCTGTACCACACTTTGTCTCGTACTTTTCCAAATGATTGTACTACATCAGCACTGAAGTTTTGGGAATCAATAGTAATATTTAAATTATGGTTAACGTAATTTTAAACTTTGCAAATCGTTTCCATCAACGTTACTATTCAAGCATGTTTCTAGGCTTAGACAATTAGTTCTTTTTTAGTTGTATGTTTTGTGCAGTTAAGAGAGAGAGGAATTGGGAACGGAGCTTGTGTTACATCAAGTGTGAATCCTTCTAGTTTCTACCTGGCACCTCCTTCAAAGCACACCAAAATGTGGATTGTTCCCCAAAATCAGAATGGTCATTTCGAAGACTTTAAACTCACGTTAGAAACCCACAGAGGCAGGTATTTTTTTAATAGGTGCAAGTACCAAAGCACACTTCTGCTGATTGACTGTGAAAGCACTAAAAAGGCAGGTGTTTGCTGGTGCACGGCCTCCATACAGCAGCAGAAGCACCAGACTTGCAGGCGGCTTTCTTTTCTTTCCCACAACCAGCCCCTGCAATACTGTAGCACATGCCATATTCCTTTTCTGCGTATAGCAACAATATCTTTTCTATTCTGCTGTCACCAAATCCAGTCAGATCCTGCCCAATCGTATTAAATTATCTCCTCCTTTTAGGAAATGAAAAATAATTTATACTAAGGAACAATAAGTTATTTTGGTGTTGCACAAATCTACTTTTCTACAAGATTGCTGTGCAGAACTCTGTGAAAATATTTGTGAAAAGAACTGTTATTGTTTTGTAAGTCTGTATTGCATAAAAATCTTCTTTGTATGTTGTGAGCTATATGAGTTGAAATTTACATTCCATATCTGTATCGATACATGCATTTCTCTAGCTGCCTACTAGAGCAGTTCCTGGTTTTTCTAAGCGTTTAACTACTATCTCTTTCAGTAAAGATTTGGAATATGAAAATTCAGTTTGAGTGAAGAAATTAAATAAAATTACATTTGTAATTGAGAGCTTCAGTGGAGTACTGGGTTCTTATGATTCAGTGTATATTCACAAGAGAGGAAAGAGGAGCTATGGCTAGTGCATTTAAAGTACTCTTGGTGTTTATGCAACGGTGACTTAAGTTTTCTGTGCTTTTGACATTTCTATACTGATATGGTTATGCTGATACCAGTAGAGTTACATTTTTGTTTTGTGTAGCAGAAGGATGATCTGATGAAGCGAAGGCTGTCATGTCTGTGGTATATTGAGCAGTAACATTCGTTATGCAAACCTTGTACTTCACACTTCCTTAAGTTCAACAGCATTCATAGCCTTACATCAGAAGATTTTGAGGGGAAATTGGTACGCTCTTGAAGTGCAATTTGCATTTTTCTCAAGCCAGGGGTGGGTTTCCTATGCTAGGTGGAGGGGAAAAGAAAACAACCAACCGAAGGTGTATTTTGCCAAATGGAAATCCTGAAAGTCTTCTCTTTGTGATCTGCTGACTTAGGAAACACTTTGTTATCGACAGAAGTAATAGTTTCTGATCCTAGAGCCAAAATATTTCACGGGGAGTTGATTTGGTGGATTGCTTGTTTTAGAAAGGACCCTATTGCTCACAGGATGCTTTCCCAAACTGAAAGCACGACTGTCTCTCTGCCTGCCATCCTGAGTTGCATCCAGCCAGTGCGTGCCGATGGGCAGCTGTGCGATGGTATCGAGCACTCCTCGGGGAAGCAACAGCAGCGGTGCAGCGCGCGGTGTCTTGCACATTCCGAGTGCTGCAGCTCTTCTGTGGAAAAGGACATCTTCACCTTCTGCTCCGTGAGCAAGCCTGTGAAGACATCCCCCTTCTGGATTGCTTTGCTGGTGGCTTTGGTGAGTAGGACATACACCTCCTTCAGTGGGTGAACAGCTGTCCCTCGGGCACTGCCCTGGGGGGCCAGACTTGCACTTGGGATCTCAGCTTTGGATGAGATGTCATGCTGTTTGTGATGAGGTGGCAAAAAAGGGTTAAATCTCCAACTATTCAGGTAGTTGTTAGCCAGGGCAGCACCTGTGTCAAATGGATCGCCTGAAACTTGTTTAATCAACAGGTGCCAGGCATTAACCTGCAGCTGGGCCTCAGCTAGCTGTTATTTGCAGAATATTCCAGAGAAGAGGGAGCCGAGTCTGTTTCCTCAAAATCCAGAGAGAGCATTTATGAACAGCATTTTTTTACGTGACAGTCCAGGCTTTCTTCTGTTCTGGTAAGTTCAAACGGGCATGGTGTTAGCTGTAGTTTATGGCAGGTGCTCTGGAAAGCAGCGTTTGCGGCTGCTGAGAGCGAGGCTGGTCAGCAGCAGTGCTGCCAGTTTGGTTTGTGGGGAAATGCTTAGTGCAAGTAGCTTGAAATCCGTTCTGTTTTGTGAAAATTGCTGATATAAATGCTGTAGGATCTGGCAAGAGATGATGGTGTGATCAGAGTGGTGGTGTCTCTGAAGGAAGTTCGAGTTGTGGTGTTACTGCAAGCAAAGGTAAATGAAAGCCATAATACTTTTGAGAATATTTCTTCAGTTCTTGGCTGTGTTGTGCTGTGTGTTATCAAAAAGCCTCTACCCCCGGAAAGCGTGCCTTGTGCAAAGTATATTGTATTTATTACTGTTTCTCGTCCTGATGTACTTCCGGTAGTCCTCCACCTATCTGCGGTACTTTGTTTCTGCTAAAGATTCCTGCTCTGCTGGTTTAGCACTTAGCAGAATAAATGTCCGAAAGAGTTAATCTGATACCAAGATAATATGAAGAGTTATCTGTGGATGTTCTGCTGATGGAGGTTGTTATTTACTAGGAAAGAGAGAGTTTAGAATCATAGGATCATTTAGGTTGGAAAAGACCTTTAAGATCATCGAGTCCAACCGTTAACCCAGCACTGCCAAGTCCACCACTAAACCGTGTCCCCAAGCACCACATCTACACGGCTTTTAAACACCTCCAGGGGTGGGGAGTCAACCACTTCCCTGGGCAGCCTGGTCCAATGCTTAACAACCCTTTCAGTGAAGAAGTTTTTCCTAATAACCAATCTAAACCTGCCCTGGCGCAGCTTGAGGCCGTTTCCTCTTGTGCTATTGTTTGTTA